ATTTAATGGTTTTGGATTCGACTTTAGACCGCGTTGATCATTACATTCGATCTTCTGTGAGAAATGCATTCGTGAAGGTTAGCATGTCTTAAAACTCAAGTAATTTGCCTTGTTAAACAAGTTACTTCTAAACTACCAAAATTGGAGCATAAATGAATTGAACTCATAAGCTTTTAGGTATCTAATGCTTGATTTGTTATGGATTAAATTTGGAACAGAAAATAGAAAATGGGAATGTGAAGGAAGTGAGAGACCAGGAAGCAAGTGAAGCTTTGCTTCAACTGGCTAAAGAAACAGAGGATTTGGCTTTGAGAGAGAGGGAATGTTTTAGTCCCATATTGAAGAGATGGCATCCGGTGGCAGCCGCAGTGGCTGCAGTAACGCTACACCAGTGTTACGGGGAAGTTTTGAAGCAATACCTCACTGGAACTTCCATGCTCAACAGTGAAGTTGTTGGAGTACTGCAAAGGGCCGGCAAGCTTGAGAAGATATTGATTCAAATGGTGGTTGAGGATTCTGAAGAATGTGAAGATGGAGGTAAAGGGATTGTTAGAGAGATGGTTCCTTATGAAGTTGATTCAATCATAATGAGATTATTGAAACAATGGATTGAGGAGAGGTTGAAGGGAGGGAAAGAGTTACTCAGCAGGGCGAAAGAAACTGAAGTAAGTAACTCCTCTCTTTTTTTTTTTGTTGATATGTTCAACTTATGAAACTGAAGTAAGTAACTTTTTTTAATGGTTTCTTTGAAATTGCAGACATGGAATCCCAAGTCTAAATCGGAGCCCTACGCACAATCTGGTGTAGAGCTGATGAAATTGGCCAAGGAAGCTGTTAATGATTTCTTTGAAATCCCTATTGGGATTACAGATGACTTGGTTATTGATTTAGCTGATGGGCTAGAGCTTCTCTTCCAAGAATATTGTACATTTGTCGCATCATGTGGTGAGTATAAGAGATCAATATTATTCTTGTGCCCTCACCTGATAATTTAAACAGTTTAAGTTTTAGGTGAAAGAGTTATTGATGTGTTATAATGTTTGTGACATAGCCAGGATTTTTTTTTTTTTTTCCAGGGTCAAAACAGAGTTATCTTCCTACACTTCCTCCTTTAACCAGATGCAACCGGGACTCAAGGATCTTGAAGCTTTGGAAGATTGCTAGTCCTTGCAGTGTTGGAGCTGAAGACATGCATCCAGTTGGATCAACGGAAGGCCACCATCCTCGTCCATCAACCAGTCGTGGTACACAGCGCCTTTATATCCGCCTTAACACCCTGCACTACGTCATCTCCCATCTCCATTCTCTAGAAAAAACCCTTACCCTCTCCCCTAGAGTAGTTTCTTCCACACGCAACCGTTTTAGTAACAACCGAAGGAATGGTAGCTCATCCTCATACTTTGGACATGCTCATGGATCAATCCAATCCGCTTGTGAACATGTATCAGAAGTTGCAGCCTACCGCTTGATCTTCCTCGATTCAAATTCAGTATTTTATGAAAGTCTATATGTTGGTGATGTAGCCAATGCTAGAATTAGACCAGCATTGAGAATTCTAAAGCAAAATCTAACTCTCCTGACTGCTATCCTAACAGACCGAGCACAAGCTCTTGCAATGAGGGAAGTAATGAAGGCATCCTTTGAAGCATTCCTGATGGTTTTGCTTGCTGGGGGGCCTTCCCGGATCTTTAATAGGTTTGATCATGAGATAATCGAAGAGGATTTTGATAGCTTGAAGAGGGTTTTCTGCGCTTGTGGCGAAGGATTGATATCTGAGGATATAGTGGACAGGGAGGTTGAGACAGTAGAGGGGGTGATAACCCTTATGGGACAAGCAACAGAACAACTAATGGAGGATTTTAGTATTGTTACTTGTGAAACAAGTGGTATAGGACTTGTTGGAACGGGGCAGAAGCTACCAATGCCACCAACAACAGGGCGGTGGAATAGAGCTGATCCAAACACAATATTGAGGGTGTTGTGTCACAGAAATGATCGTGTTGCCAATCAGTTCTTGAAGAAGTCATTCCAATTAGCAAAGAGGAAATGAAAAGAGGAGAAATTTTTTCTTATTTTGTATAAAAGAAGAAAAAGGTTGTGTTTCTGGTGAATTTCAAGTATTGATCTTTCCCCCAGTTGCATAAAAAACTGTAAATGATTAAATTTAGCGGGGGGCGGTGTACTCAAATTTGGATAATCGTAAATGTTATGTCATCATCAAGATCATATTCGAGGTAGAGAGACCACTGTACCTTCTTTCTTTTTTTTTATTTTTTTATTTTTTTATCTTGATTCTGTATAGCTCTAGGCACTTCTACTTCTTAAGTATGGAAAAGGGATATATGAAAGCAAGTTTTTCCTTTTTCCTCTCAAATTCATTACATCATTTTTTCACGGTCGACAAAATTTAGACACACTGTATTGAAGGAAAATTACTATGACATTATTCTGTAGAAAGTATGGTTTTAGCTATGACATTCAAGATCGTAATCTTGAATCTAAGGTCTAGTCTCTTCTGGGTTTGATGTCCTTAATCTCATGACCTTCAGTTCTTCGGTAAGTACTTCTATTGAATTCGAGACTTCAGCCTTGTACACATAAAACTTGATCACAACCAAGAAGAATATGAGGTTCAAGAAGTTCAATATAGCGAAAAATGCGTAATAGTAGTCCAGATGAGAAGCATTCAGGTTGTTTAGTATCCATCCCTGGTGGCCATCTCTGCTTGTGACGTGAGAAACTGTTGAAAGAAGAAAGCTACTGATAAAATTCCCAACTCCTAAACTAGTGGTGGCATAGGATGTCCCAAGACTCTTCATGTCTTCTGGTGCCTGATCATAGAAGAACTCAATCTTTGCCACTTCTAAAAAAGCATCAGCCATTCCCATAAGCACAAACTGAGGAAGTAAAATGAATATCGTTAACGGCAGTTGGCCCCCATTTTGAACCAACCCATGTTCCCTGGCTACTTTCAATCTGTACCTTTCAGTGAAAGATGCAACCAACATGATTACGATATGGAAAGCCAAACCAATCCCCATTCTTTGAAGGAGAGTTATGCCTCTTGGGTTCTTTGTCCATCTTTGCATGATTGCCACAAAAAACCGATCATATAGAACAACAGAAATAAGCATGGATAATGTCACAAATGCTATCAAACTTGCTGGGGGTACCTTGAAGCTGCCAATGGCTCTATCAAGGGTAGTGCCCTGTTTTACAAAGAGGGTATTGATTTGAGCAATCATGGTGCTTGGAACAAATGTACATATCAATATAGGAATCATCCTTAGCATTTGCTTTGTTTCCTCTACTTGGGTTACCGAGCATAACATCCATGGATCTGTGGAATCTGTTTTTATAGAAGCTTTGTTGAGGAACCTGCATTGTTGGACAAAAACATAATGAACTTAATCAAACATTTCAGAGATCCAACAAAAAATTTGCAATTGATCATACTAACCTAAAGGATGGAGTTGAATCAATCCTAAATTTCCCTTTCTTGTCATACTCTCCCAAGTCAAGTTCATAGAGTTCTTTAGGGTCACTAGGAAGAGGCACCCTCCATTTCCTTAGGGCAGCCACAATGACCCTAGCCATCCTTGTGAAGGTACTTCCCGCAGGCACCCTGTGCCTATAGAAGGGTGTGCCTGCCAAGAAAATCAAAACAGAAATCAAAAGCCCAATAGTAGGCAGACCATAGCCCAAGGTCCAGCCCACATTATCTTGTATGTACACAAGAACTGTGTTAGCAAACAGTGTTCCAAAGAAGATGCTAAACATCCACCAGTTGAAGAAAGTCAACTTGTGAGCCTTCTCCTTGGGATGGAAATCATCAAACTGGTCGGCACCAATGGTCGAAATGTTAGGCTTTGTCCCACCTGTACCCACTGCTAGAGTGTACAGGGCACCAAAATACACAGCTAATTGTAAAGTTGAAGCCCTTTTGCAGTCCCCCGCATTGGATTGAGTACATGATGGTGGTTTTAGTGCAGGAAGTGACACTGATAATGTTAGCAATAACATTCCCTGTAACCATATAAGTTCCCATGAATATAGAAAACACTAGTGGGTAGATAAATCCAGACGAGATAATACTAAGTTGTGAACTTCAAAAGAGTTATCCAACTTCCAATATTATTCAAAATATAAAACTATATACACCATCTTAGTATCTGCAATGACCATGACATCTTCCTACTTGCCGCATTATAAGACAGAGTTTTATCTTTTAGGGTCAAACTTTGACTTAATGTTGTGTGTCCATATTGTCTAATGGAAATCATAATCTATTGTATAATTCCACACCTCTCAAACAATTTAATAATCATTACTTAAAATATATATATATATATATATATATCAAACTCTCACTTATTTAAGTGACTAGGAAATGGACTATTTCTGTCATAATACAATTATTCTACTTTATCCTTCTTATTAAATGAATTATTGACACTGACTTGATCAAATATAGAAAACACTTACAGATAGATAGATTACTGAAGCAATGACAAAGGTCCAGTAGCGGCCGAGATGGGCGTCTGCGATGTAGGCGCCCAAGATTGGGGTCAGCCATATGGTGCCAACCCAGTTGGTAACATTGTTGGAGGACTTGACAGTGCCCTCATGCAGCTTATTTGTCAAATATACCACAAGATTGCTTGATATGCCATAATAGGCCATGCGTTCAAATACCTCATACACTGCATTATTGGCAATTGTCAGCAAACAAAAACCTTAGTCAAATTTCAGAAACACAACCGTTGATCTGTACAATAATTGAATTTGGTAATTTGGTTGGTGAAGATCCAACATGTTATGCTTTTGGGTCATCAAAACTTCTTGTTTTGGAGCTTTTTTCTATAGTAAATTATTCACAAGAAAATAACAAGACATTGAACCATCATGTAAGGATATGTTGTGATCTTGAAAGTCTAACATGTTAAAACTGAAATACAAGACAAGTATCCAATTTAAAACCAACTAGCAGTACGTGGATAACTCGTCTTATATTCAAGATATGGGACTTCCTCATTCGACATGAAAATTAGTTCAACCCAAGATGCTTTCTAACGAATATTGTTTAGGGAATGAACAAGTGGAGAATCTGTCCTTTATATATACATTTTTGTGACGGTTCTTTCAAATATAAAAGCCAGAAAAAACGAAAAAAAGAAAAAAAAAAAAAACCTGCAAGGTAGGCAAGATGCTTTGAAGATAAGGCAGGAGAGAAAGGGAGCTTCTTAAACAGGTGGACATAAAAGAGAGGTAACGAAGCATTTAAGAAGGAAAAAGTAAAACCACAAAGAAACACAGATAGCTGGCATTCGAACCAAGTTAACGCTTTTTTTTTTGGATGAAATGTGGGAACCAATTTCCATCACAAGAAGAAAAAGAATTAAACTAAAACTACTAAGATTTATTAAGAAGAAAAAAAGCAAAAAAAGCAAAAAAAAGAAAAAAAAAAACCTTGCATTCTCATTACTAAGCCATTTCTCAGCTTATTATTTTTTTACCTAAAATGAAGCAAAGATTTCAAGATGACTACTTATATGAAGTGGGTAAAATGCAGAACATAAAAGTTCCATGTAATTTGGAACTAGAGGAAGGAATAATTGCTTCAAAAGGTTTGGAAAAACGGATTGGGTCATGTGCCAAAAAGAGAGAAAGGGGAAAAGGAAGAAAGGGAGAGGGAGTATACCAACAACAAAGGAGCAAGCAGTCCATCCTCCTCTCTTGGATCTCCTAACTGGGTTTCCTTTAAGGTCTACAGTGCCATCCTGTGTATAATCATCAACCCCATCTTCCAAAGCCATTACCCTACTGTTTTTTCCCTTTGATTTTCTGTGTTAGAAGCAGAGGGAAACTGTTTTTCTTGGAGACAGAGAAAGGAAACTCGTGTGTTCTTGTGCACATCTATCGACCCCTTTTAT